GATTAATGCCTGATGGGAGAGTGTATATTTCTCGTCATGTGGTCTTTGATGAGAATATATTTCCATTTGTTAAGCACGTAAATAAGAAGAGTGTTTTAGCTGAGGATAGATCGTGCATTAAAACATCACTTGTTGTGGTTCATGGTGCTCGGCTTGTTTGTGGTGATTCTTCACAAGCAACTACGGGTGTTAGTCAACCTGTGATTCAAGAGTCTAATTGTGTACCAGTGTATAATGAAGGTTTGTCGGGACTGCTGAAGCTAGGTGTTGAAAACATTTTTGATGTTTCGATATAACAAATTAAGTTAAATGAATTTTAAGATTTTACAAATGATTTTCTAAGTATATTCGATTTAATTATTTGAATATAAAATTATTACTCCAAGTCTTTCAAGATCAATTTCAAACCTTACTAAATGTGTAAAATGGTGTTTTATACTTAATATATTTTTGAAACAATTTTCACAAAGTATTTTGAACCAAAATCAAGCCTTAAATCAATTTTTCAAAGGCATACACCGATGCACCAATCCATGCATCAATGCACCAATGAATAAATTGAACATCGAATGCATTTTATGCATTGATGCACTATCCATGCATCGATGAACTCAGGGTTTTATGAAAACATCGAATGCATTTGATGCATCGATGCACATACCATGCATTGATGCACTCAGGCTATTTTAAAACATCGAATGCACTTCATGCATCGATGCACTCTTAGTGCACCGATGCACTGAGAGTCTAACGGTCAAAATATTTGAATTTTACACTTGATGCACCGATACACCTAGGGTATGCATCGATGCACTAACGCTCTCATCCACTTTAATTAATTGTTTTCACACTTAAACGGCTCTATTGACTCCACTAATCATCACCAACGTTCAGAATCATTTGAAGGAATTTAAATAAGCTTAGAAGCCATTGATCAATAACAAGAAACAACAAGCAACTAGAATCAAGAGAGAATCAAAGAGAAAGCATCAAACCTCAAGTTTGAGCATTTCAAGCCTATTTTTCATTCAATATTCATTTTTCTTTCAAGAACACTATTTGTACTCAATTGTATTCATTTTTTAGTGTTCTTTTCTTTGTTCTAGAATTGTGCAAACATCTTACCTTGTGAGGATTTCCTTATAAGTTTGCAAATTTGTAATCTTCTCTTTGGGAAAGTGCGTTCTCAAGAATTGAGGTATATTCTTGAGGGAGTTGTAAGGTTATCTCTTTCACCTTAAAAGAAAGAACAAATTAGTGTGTTTGTTGGAAAATCCTTAGTGTGGATAGCTAAGGTAGTGGACGTAGACTTTGGTTGATAAAGTCGAACAACTCTAAATCGATGTGCAATTACTTTCAATTTTCTGCAAAAGCTTCCACCAAAATCTTAATTTCCAATTCACCCCCTATTGGCCAATTCCATCGATCGATTAACTCAACAATTGGTATCAGAGCCTAACTCATTTGAAGGTTTAATCACCTCTTGAGTCGATTCGGGAAGAGTTACATTGATAATCAAAGTCATCAATGGCCTCCACTTCAAACATCGACTCTGGTCTCGATTTAATGCCCGTCAACAAGCCTCCTTTCTTCAATGGAGCTAACTGTGCCTATTGGAAGAATAGGATGATGTATTTCATTCAAGCAAGTGACATGGGAGCATGGAATGTTGTAGAAGAATGATATATCAAGCCTCTCACTCATCTAAGATTGTGGAGCGAATGAGAGACGAAAATGTTCCAGCTCAACTCCAAAGCCATCCATATCATATTTTGTGTTCTTGGACCAGATGAATATGAAAGAGTTTCATCTTGTACAACCGCCAAAGAAATATGGGATAAACTACAAGTCATTCATGAAGGCACCGATGAGGTAAAAGAATCTAAAATTAGTCTTCTAACACATAGCTATGAAAATTTCAGGATGAAAAAAATGAAGATATCAAAGCTATGACGGATAGATTCTCAACGATTGTCAATGGTCTCAAATCATATTGAGAGATCATTTCAAAAGAAAAGCTTGTGAGGAAGTTAGTTTACTCACTTCCAAAATCATGGCAATCCAAGAAGACGACAATCATGAAGGCTAAGAACCTAAAGTCGTTAACTCTTGAAGAGCTAATCGGTTCTCTCCTCACTCATGAAATGATGCTTGAAGATGAGGTGGACCTCGATAAGATCGACGAGACACCAAAGGAGAAGGAGAAGAAGAAAAACATTGGAGTTGCTCTCAAATCTACCAAAGATGAGAGTGATTCGGATGAAGATGACGATGATGAGGAAATGTCATTGTTTGCCAAACGGTTCAGAAAAATGATGAGACCTTACCGAGGAAGAAAATTCAAACGAAATGAAGGCCTCAAAATTGAACCAAAAGAGAATGACCCGATCATTTGCAACGAATACAAAAAGCCGGGGCATGTCAAATATGATTTCCCATAATTGAAGAGAAATGGTCAATCAAAGAATAAGCACAAGGCTCATGTGGCTACATGGAGCGATGGAGAAGGTTCTGATGAAGAGGAACAAAAAGTAGCAAACTTGGGCTTGATAGCATTCGGGGAAGATTCTAAGGGAACCTCTAACTCATCTGATTTTGATGATTTATCTTATGATGAACTATTAGAGGAATATAATGGGTTGGCTTCGGATTATGAGAAGTTTTTTTTAAAATATAAAAATGATATTTCAAAATTGAAAAATGAAAATAAACTCATATCCAAAACCAACAACGATCTTGAAAGTAAAATCAAAGATTTGCAAATCAAACTAGAAGAGTTTGAAAAGAAAGTTTTGGATTTGCAAAATTTACTTTAAAAGGTCAATGATGATCATCAAAAGAAAATTGATGATCTTAAATCTTCTTTTGATAAAGTTGGAACAAAACGTTTTGAAAAAGGAGAAAATTCAAAATCCAACTTTGTTAGAAAAAAGTTTTAAAAACTACAATCATAGACCCAAAGAATCTCTAATGGAAAAATCGTTAGAAGTATATGGGTTCCTAAAGAGCTCATTACTACTAAAGATAAGAATATCCTACACAAATGGATACCTAAGGGGACTAAGATTTTGGAAACTAATGAATATGGACCAAAAAGAATTTGGGTACCAAAAATTAGAAATTAATCTATGTTTGTAGGAAAATGAGCATTGCTACAAGGCACGAAAAACAAATTCAAACTCATTGTACATTGATAGTGGATGTTCGAGACACATGACCAGAGACAAAAGCCGGTTCATTGAGCTTAACGCCAAAAATGGAAGAGAGGTGACTTTTGGTGATGATTCAAAAGGTCACATTGAAGGCATAGGTACTATAGGTAATACCTCTTCCATACAAATTAAGAATGTTTTATATGTGAATAGATTAAAGCATAATCTATCACTACAAGAAATTTTGATTATTTCAACAAAATTATTTATCACTAAAAGTACTAAATTTGTCACGATATATTTATTTTGACAAATTTTATTTGTTACTATGTTTGTTAGAACAACCTTGTCATGTAAAGTATATTGTGACAAAATTGTATTTGTTACCATTGTATAATATTTATTGTAACAATGAAATTTTATTATTATAATTAACTTATCACAATAAAATATGTCACAATCAATTAGCTATTTCGTCACGAGAAGTACATTTTGTCATAATTAATTTATATTTAAACATTAAATATAAAGGGTTTTTGTGACGAAAATACATAAGGCAACAAAAATTATTTTGTCGCAGTTGTTATTTTGTTACTAAATGTAACTTAAAGAGAAAAAATATTTGTTAAAATAAAATAATTATTTTATCACAAAAATATAATTTTTGGCACAATTAAATTAAATTATAACATTAAAAAAAGGTTTTCGTGACAAAAATACATATTACAACAATTTATTTTCTTACTACTTTTATTTCGTCACTAAATATTTTTTATAACATTTTACTGTAACTAAATAATTTTGTTACAATTTGTTATTGTGAAAAATATTATTTGTCACAATTTTTTTATAATGAGAAATTAATATTTGTTATAAATTGTTATTTTGATTAAATAAATTTGTTAAAATTTGTTATTTTGAGAAAATATTGAGACGAAATAAATTTAACATAAATTTTTATTTTAACTAAATTTAATATGTTATTGTGACTAAATAAATTTGTTATAATTGATTAATGTGAAAATATATTATTTGTTATAATTTTTATATTGAGAAATTAATATTTATTATAATTTGTTATTATAACTATTTAAATTTGTCATAATTAAAAAGGTCCAATCACGTGAAAGAATAAAAAAATAAAACCCAAAAATTTAAACAGCATACATGTAAATAATCTCCAAAAAATAACAGAAACACACACAAACATTAGATTAAATAAATAAACTATAATTCCTCACATTAGTCACAATGAAGTTCAAGACAAAGGGAAAACCCCATACAACTTTTCATTCTCTCAGCCTCACTTCAACCTACATAAACATGCGTATATATTATGTACACATAAAATGGTGCTCAAGCATGTCGGAATCAATTATGCACTAATGGTATACGATAAGAGAAAAGTGAAGACATCTTTTTACCCTTGCTGGCTGCCCGTTAGAACTCGGTAATGAACTGGGGCAAAGTTCGTCCTTGATACGACAGGGCAAGGTAGCCGGAGTAGGAGTCAAAGGATGGAAGTTGTAGGTGTGAGCGGAGAGCTACCAGGGTTCGACTCCAATTCGTTATGCAGATCATTGATCCTTTGAAGAAGCTCCTTCATGTACTCGATGGCATCCCCGAGAATAATAGCTCTATCCATCTTTTAGTAGAAAGGATAATGTTAAATCATACAATTCCTAAGAAGCAAAAACCGAGAATATGAAACTCCAAAAACTCTTCCATTGCAAGCTGGTTGTCAAGAGTGAAGAAGACTTCTGATTGTGCCGAAGGAATGGTCTCTTTCTCAGCTGTTTGAAAAATGGATCAGATTGGTACACTTTTCGATCTGCTTTGGCTCTAAATATAAACCCCATCAAGTCCAGATGCAGGAATCAAAATAGCAAATCAAGACATCGTTGAGATTTCTAAATGTCTCACACAATAAAAGCTACCAAGATTAATACATGGACCCAAGTTGAGCATTCTATAAACTAAAAAAAAAACCTTGTTAAACATAGCATCATTCAAAAGTTTGAGAATTGTCCAAGCTTTTTTCTGCCAAATACCAAAGCCCAGTTCATATGTCAATTGTATTTGACTTCCCAAGTCAACTTTTGGGAGATCCACTGTGAGAGAAGGATAAGAAGATACAAAGCTTCAAGAGTTGTCTAAAACATGGTTATAACAAATTTAAGTCAATTTCTAATCCCAAAAAAAACATAAAAGTCAACAGACAAAAGACTAAGCTCAGAAAATAACACAGAAATATAAAACTCAACCTCAATGAAAACATTAAATAAAGCAAACTGAACTGGTTACCTTCATAGATAAGACGCAATTTAACTTCGTCCGCACTTTGCTCATACTGTATATTTTCTTCATTTTGATTATAAGACCAATTTGAATCCTTTTGAAAGGAAATCATCCCTGAAAAAACCAAAACACAGAACCATATTTTCCAAGTTACTCAAACAGCAAAAGTGTCAATTGAACTAAGGCTCGGTTGCAAAAGACAATCTTAAGAAGTGCTTCAAACAAGTTGGAGTCCAAGATCCTTTCACCCCATATTCCTTCATAACCCAAGCATCAATCTTCTCTTGGTCATAATTACAAACAACACATAGGCGTCCCTCCAAGACACCCACATCCAACAGTTAGCTCTTATCAGCGCAATTAGGTTGAGGCACTTCGATTAACTCTTCTGTTCCGAGATCGAAACCCACAATCGTATTCCGAATTCCGAATTCGATCCTTGGAGGCATCACCCAATGTAAAACCCCACCGGCCAGCACACCATAGCCTCGTCTATGCAAGAGATGATAGAAAAATTGGAACATAAACCGAAGATAAAAAGGAAGCTTAATGATTTTGCTCTAAGAGTTATTCTTTAAACTATATACCTTAACCTCGTAATCGAAATAGTAACTTTCGTTATCTTCATCGTCAGTTTTATTGAACGTCGCCATTCTCACGACCTTGTAATCGTTAGTTTTAACATCCAGCCCGAACCCATAAAAAATATACCCAGATTTACACGATTCACCTGACGGAGGATCGATTTCCAAAGCGGGCAGTCGACGGAACTGCCGCGTGGACGGATTATAGTCTAAAGAGAAAGAATTAGGGCGGAAGATATATTGCTTTCGTTTTGTGAGTTGTTCACAGTTTTTTTTTTCTAGGGTTTTGTTTGGGTTAAAGTATAAAAAAGACTCAACTATATAGTATGTTGCAATTCTTTCTACGGTTAAAATTTATAAAATATTTTTATAAAGATAAAATATTATTTTATTGAGTTTTTTATTATTAAAAATTATAAAATAATTATTTTATTATTCGTATGTTTTAAAATTATTTTTTATTAAAAAATTGATGATAATTGAGTTAGATGATGATAGTAATAATAACAATAGTAGTAGTGGTGGTGGTGGTGAAAATGAAGATATATACTACCGATATGAAGACGAAGAAGAGGAAAATGATTACTTATAATTTTATGTAACACAATTATTTTATTAAAATATATTATTTAGTTTAATTAATTACGATTATTTGTATGCCTTCTAAATGAAATTACTTTTAATTTGTTCAATTTTGGATATTGTTTTATTCAAATTATTTACTTGATTAAATCATTTACATAATTATAATTAAGAAAACAAATTCGAACTAGCTTCGTAAAAAATAAATGAAAACATTTTGATAATATATTTTGTTATTATATTTTATTTAAAAATTCCATAAAATTATATATATCATAGAAATTTGATTTTTTGAACATTTGATTTTTATAATAATAATTATATTTTCTTATTATAATCAAAATATATAACTACAAGCATATTTTTTTCATAAATAACTAAAATCATTTATTAATTAAAAAATATATTTTTTGTTGTTATAATTTTTCTATAACAATAACTATATAACTTTTATTATATAACAATTTTGGCACAAAAAATATGGAGAAATGGTTCTCATAGTATAATTTTTCATAATGATTAAAATATATAACTACAAAAAGAATTGATTACAAAAAACTTGAATTTTATTATCTGATGTGATAATTTTTCTATAACAATAACTATAAATTTTAATTATAAAACTTATCAATATCACTTCTTGAAACAAAAAAAAAAAAGTGGAGAAAAATATTTATCACAATATATGTCATCGTTGTAATTAAAATTTATAGTTACAAATATAATTTGTCACAAAAATGTGAATACCATTATTTTTTGTGATAATATTTTTTGTAATAATTATAAACACTTATAGTTACAAAAATTGTACTATATGATTTTTTTTTGTGCAAAAAAATGGAGAAAAATCTTTATAGCAATATATTTTGTTATTATATAACATTTTTTACATTAAAAAATATGGAGAAATGGTTCTGATAATATAACTTTTCGTAATGATTAACATATATAAGTACAAAAATAATTTATTACAAAAAATTTGAATTTTATTATTTGATGTGATAATTGTTTCTATAAAAATAACTATAAATTATAATTATAAAAATTATCAATATAACTTTTGAAACAAAAAAGTGGAGAAAAATAGTCATGACAATATACGCTATCACTATAGTTAAACTTTATAACTACAAATATAATTTGTCACAAAAACATGAATATCATTAGTTTTTGTGATAATATTTTTTTAATAATTATTAACACTTATAGTTACAAAAAATATATATAAATACAAAAATAATTTATTATAAAAAACTTGAATTTTATCATTTGATGTGATAATTTTTTCTATAAAAATAACTATAAATTATAATTATAAAAATTATCAATATAACTTTTGAAATAAAAAAGTGGAGAAAAATAGTCATGACAATTTATGCTATCACTATAGTTAAACTTTATAACTACAAATATAATTTGTCACAAAAACGTGAATATCGTTATTTTTTGTGACAATATTTTTTGTAATAATTATTAACATTTATAGTTACAAAAAATATATAAGTACAAAAAAATTTATTACAAAAAACTTGAATTTTATTATTTGATGTGATAGTTTTTTCTATAAAAATAACTATAAATTATAATTATAAAAATTATCAATACAACTTTTGAAACAAAAAAGTGGAGAAAAATAGTCATGACAATATATGTTATCACTATAGTTAAACTTTATAACTACAAATATAATTTGTCACAAAAACGTGAATATCATTATTTTTTGTAATAATTATTAACACTTATAGTTACAAAATTTGTCACCATATGTTTTTTTTGCGCAAACAAATATAGAGGTAAATATTTGTGACAATATATTTTATCACTATAATTAAAATATGTAACAACAAACATTGTTTTGTACTAAAAAAATGAATCTCATTATTTGTTGTGACAACTTTTTTTTTATAATAATAATTATAGCTTATAGTTACAAAACATATTACTATATGATTTTGTTTTTGTACCAAAAATTGGAGAAAATCATTTGTGACTATACATTTTGTCACTATAATTAAAATATATAATTACAAACAAAATTTGTCACAACAAATCTAAATCTCATTATTTGTTGTGACAATTTTTTCTGTCATAGTTACTAAAACTTTTAGTTACAAAAGTTGTCATTATATGCTTTTAATTTGGCGCAAAAAAATTGGAGGGAAATATTTGTGACAAAAATTCGTAATAAAATTTATTTTGTCACCATATTTTACATATGTTCGCTAATTGTGACAAATTATTATGACGATTTTAACTTTTGTCATAATTGTATATCTTTTTTAAATCTAACGAGACGATTATTTATTTTGACACCAAAAAACTACTAATAGTGACAAATTTAATTTTGACAAAAATAAATTTGTCACAATAATAGAAATTTCTTGTAGTGTATTGAGTATTAGTCAATTGTGTGATAAGGGATTCTGTTGAAAACATTTTTGTATTTCGATATAACAAATTAGTTTAAATGAATTTTAAGATTTTACAAATGATTTTCTAAATATATTCGATTCAATTAATCAAATATCAAATTATTACTCCAAGTCTTTTAAGATCAATTTCAAACCTTACTAAATGTGTAAAATTGTGTTTTATACTTAATATATTTTTTAAACAATTTTCACAAAGTATTTTGAATCAAAATCAAGCCTAAAATCAATTTTTCAGAGTGATGCACTAATCCATGCATCGATGCACCATGAATTAATTTGAACATCGAATGCATTTCATGCATCGATGCACATACCATGCACCGATGCACTGAGGATTTTATGAAAACATCGAATTCATTTGATGCATCGATGCACCAGCCATGCATCGATGCACTCTGACTATTTTGAAACATCGAATGCACTTGATGCATCGATGCACTCTTAGTGCACTGATGCACTAAGGGTCCAACGGTCAAAATATTTGAATTTTACACTGATGCACCGATGCACCGATGCACCATGGGTATGCATCGATGCACTGACGCTCCCAACTGTTTTAATTAATTGTTTTCACACTTAAACGGCTCTATTGACTCCACTAATCATCCCCAACATTCAGAAGTGATTCAAGGTGTATTTAAACAAGCTTAGAAACCATTGATCAATAACAAGCAACTAGAATCAAGAGAGAATCAAAGAGAAAGCATCAAACCTCAAGTTTGAGGATTTCAAGCCTATTTTTCAATATTCATCTTGCTTTCAAGAAAACTTATTGTGCTCAATTCTATTTATTCATGAGTGTTCTTTCTTTGTTCTAGAATTGTGCAAACATATTTGCCTTGTGAGGTTTTTCTTGTAAGTTTGCAAATTTGTAATATTCTCTTTGAGAAAAGAGCGTTCTCAAGAATTGGGGTATATTCTTGAGGGTGTTGTATGGTTATCTCTTTGGCCTCAAAAGAAAGAACAAATTAGTGAATTTGTTGGAAAATCCTTAGTGTGGAAAGCTAAGGTAGTAGACGTATACTTTGGTTGATAAAGTCGAACCACTCTAAATCGTTGTGCAAATCTTTTCAATTTTCTGCAAAAGCTTCCACCAAAATTTTAATTGTCAATTCACCCCCCTCTTGGCCAATTCCATCGATCGATTAACTCAACAATTGGTATCAGAGCCTAACTCATTTGAAGATTTAATCGCCTCTTGAGTCGATTCGGGAAGAGTTATATCGATAATCAAAGTCATCAATGGCCTCCACTTCTAACTTCGACTCCGGTTTCAATTCAATGCCCGTCAACAAGCCTCCTTTCTTCAATGGGGCTAACTATACCTATTGGAAAAATAGGATGATTCAAGCAAGTGACATGGGAGTATAGAATGTCGTAGAAGAAGGATACATCAAGCCTCTCACTCATCCAAGATTATGGAGTGAAGGAGAGACAAAAATGTTCCAACTCAACTCCAAAGCCATCCATATCATATTTTGTGCTCTTGGACCAGATGAATACGGAAGAGTTTCATCTTGTACAAACGCCAAAGAAATATGGGACAAACTTCAAGTCACTCATGAAGGTACCGATGAGGTAATGAAATCTAAAATTAGTATTCTAACGCATAGCTATGAAAATTTCAGGATGAAACCAAATGAAGATATCAAAGCTATGACGGATAGATTCTCAACGATTGTCAATGGCCTCAAATCATATGGAGAGATCATTGCAAATGAAAATCTTGTGAGAAAATTAGTCTACTCTATTCCAAAATCATGGCAATCAAATAAGACGGCAATCATCGAGTCTAAGGACCTAACATCCTTAACTCTTGAAGAGCTAATTGGTTCACTCCTCACTCATGAAATGATGCTTGAAGATGAGGTGGACCTTGATAAGATTGAAGAGACACCAAAGGAGAAGGAGAAGAAGAAAAACATTGGAGTTGCTCTAAAATCCATAAAAGATGAGAGTCATTCGGATGAAGATGGCGACGATGAGGAAATGGCATCGTTTGCCAAACGGTTCAAAAAAATGATGAGACCTTACCGAGGGAGAAAATTCAAACGAAATGAAGGCCTCAAAAATGAACCAAAAGAGAAGGACCCGATCATTTGCTATGAATGCAAAAAGCCGGGGCATGTCAAATATGATTGCCCACAATTAAAGAGAAATGGTCAATCAAAGAATAAGCACAAGGCTCATATAGCTACATGGAGCAATGAAGAAGGTTCCGATGAAGAGGAACAAGAAGTAGCAAACTTGTGCTTGATGGCA